TTGTGCGATAAGTTCTAGCTTGGGCAATTAGACAAGAGAAGGAATTCAGGGGTATCCAAATAGGAAAAGAGGAAGTCACGTTATCCCTCTTTGCTGATGATATGATCCTATACCTTAAAAATCCAAGAGAATCTGTCAAAAACCTGCTTGCACTGATAAAAGATGTTGGCAAAGTCTCAGGATACAAAATAAATGTGCAAAAGACACTTCCATTCCTATACAGCAACAAAAAGCAGGCAGAGACCCAAATTAAAAGCACAATCCCACTCAAAATATCCACAGGAAAAAAAGGAAATGCCTTGGTATGTTCCTAACCAGAGAAGTGAAAGACGTTTACAATGAGAACTATAAAACACTGCTCAAAGAAATCCAAGAAGAAACAAACAAATGGAAAAATATTCCATGCTCATGGATAGGAGAATCAACATTGTTAAGATGCCTATTCTACCAAAGGCAATCTACAGATTCACACAATACCCATTAAGTTACCAACATCATTTTTCTCAGATCTGGAAATGACAATACAGAAATTAATGTGGAAACCTAAGTGACCACGAATAGCCAAAACAATCCTTATCAAAAGAAACAAAGCAGGAGGTATCACACTTCCAGACTTCAAATTTACTATAAGGCTATAGTAATCAAAATAGCTTGTTATTGGTACAGGAACAGGCATATATACCAGTGGGACAGGATAGAGATTCAGGAAGCAAAGCCTCAATTTCTCAACCAACTCATCTTTGACAAAGCCTCCAACAACAACCACTGGGGAGAGGAGAACCTATTCAGTAAATGGTGCTGGGAAAACTGGCTGACCACATGCAGAAGATTCAAACGGGACCCCTACCTATCACCACATACAAAAATTAACTCTAAATGGATCAAAGACCTAAATATAAAACCTCAAAGTATAAGAATCTTAGAAAACGCAGGAGACACCCTTACAGAAATTGGAACTGGTAACCAGATCCTATTTGGAACCCTAAATGCATATACCTTAAGAAATAAGATAGACAAGTTGGAAAAAAATATTTGCCAACTGTATATCTGACAAAGGCCTAACATCTAGGATCTATAAGGAACTCAAACGTGTCAAAAGGAAAAAAACAAACAGCACCATTAAAAAGTGGGCAAAAGTCATGAATAGACACTATTCAAAACAAGATACACGGGCAGCCAACAGACACATGAAAAGGTGCTCAGCCTCACTCATCATCAGAGAAATGCAAATCAAAACCACACTGAGATACCACCTAACCCCAGTAAGAATGGCCATCATTAATAAATCAAACACAACAGATGCTGGCAAGGATGCAGAGAAAAAGGAAGGCTTCTACGTAGCTGGTGGGAATGGAAACTAGTGCAACCTCTTTGGAAGACAATGTGAAAATTTCTGAAAGAACTAGAAATTGACTTTCCTTCCAAATGACCCAGTAATTCCCCTATTGGGAATATACCTGGAAACTCATAACATTCTACATAAAAGATACCTGCACATGTTTGTTTGCTGCAACTCTGTTCACAATAGCAAATACACGGAACAAACCATGTTGCCATTCGAAGATGGACTGGATAAAAAAATATGGTACATATACACAATGGAATATTATGCAGCCATAAAGAAGGACAAATATATGGACTTTGCAGCAACTTGGATGGATTTAGAGCAATCATACACAGTGATCTATCACAAAAACAAAGAGAGTACCACATGCTTTCACTCATAAGTGGACCTTGAACAATTATTATAATACTATAAGAAAGGGATTGGCAAAATGGGAATCCCTAGTGGGAAACTGTCAGAATAGGTGGGGTGGGTTTGGCAGTTGAGGGAAACTGCTAGGGGAGGGAGGGACATACCTCATCAACAAGGGTACCTGCATAATCAACATTTGTATACTTAACCCTGAATTGTACCCCACATCTTTATAACAAAAAATAATAATAAAATAAAAAAAATAATAAAAAGCAGGTACTTTGAAAATCTCATTTGTTTAAAAACAAACATTTGAGACTTAAGGATCCCTCAAAAGCCATAATATTTTCAAAATATTAATATAGAAAACATGTATTTTTATTTAATAAGATCTAATAAAGTTTAAGATTTAATGCCAGCTTAAAAATAATGCATTTAATCCTGGTCTACATGGGTAGTGAGTGCCAGCTAAAAGTCCAAACTTCACCTGCATGCAGCCTACTTATGTAGTTAATCCTCACTATGTAGTTAATCCTCACTTTTACCACACATCTCTGTAATAAAGTAAAATAGCAAAACTCTAAATAAATAAAAAATAAAAATGGTTTTAATATATCATTGAAACACGAAAACAAATTTCAATTAAAACTGAACTAGACTATGGTTTTTGAAACTCAGAAATAATGAATGTATACCATTTTTAAACCTAAGCCTTTTTTTCACCACCCTCTAAGCAATCTACTACAGCAATTTCACAGTGATGAGAGGCTAGAGAACACTTCAATTTGATAAAAAAGTAATGGAATTAAAATTAATAATTAACAATTTTTGCTTCAGTTGACATGGTGTTTCCATAATTATAGAAATGAGTTTTAGTGCTTACTACGGCAGCACATATACTAAAATTGGAACGATACAGAGAAGATTAGCATGGCCCCTGCACAAGGATGACATGCAAATTTGTGAAGCGTTCCATATTTAAAAACAAAAGAAATGAGTTTTAAATGTAAAGACCGCATCTTTGATTATTTTCTCTGTGAGTTTGAGCAGTATAAAACTATGTATTTTATTTAACTAACATACCCTGAGCTATACTTTTTTAAAGGCTATCGTACATGGATATGTTTTGCAAACTGTAAAGCCCACGGTAGCTGTTAAGTAATTACACCATGATGCCTTTGAGATGGAATCCATGTAGAAATGTCAAGTAGTTGGGAGACATCAAACTAGACTGTAGGAAAGAGTTAGGGCTTAAAATAGATATTTGGCAATCATCCTAAACTTAGATGTGATAACTGCAATTATTAGAATGGATTAAATTTCCAAAGAGTGACTAACTGCCTTAATAACATGAAATACACTGCTTTTCATCCATTGGGCACTAATGAATGTTCATTAAATGACTAACATTTTTTTAAAAAGACAGTAAATATGCCATTTTTTTTGCAAGATATATACTGTATTTCAGCAAACATAAAGGTCTGAAGCTTCTATGAAATAGCTTTGATTCTTTATATGTGTGTGTGTGTGTGTGTGTGTGTGTGTGTGTGTGTGTGTGTGTGTATGTGTGTGTGTGTGTGTGTCGTATATGTACCAAAGCTATTTCATAAACGTCTTGAACCTTTATGTTACCTGAAATATGTTACCTGAAAATTTGGGGGTACAAGTGCAGGTTTCTTAGAGATATATACTGAAATAGCCTTGATTATTAACCACACTTATATCATCATTTACGTAAAGTATTCCAAATTCCAAGTAACTAATTAAAAATGGAATTTTCAGAACAAATCCATTTGTTATTTTACTATTTCTATTTTTTTGTTTTGTTTTGTTTAACTTATTTTATAGAGTACTGCTTGCTCATAAAAACAGGAAGGTTATCAGTGAGCTAGAATTAAACTTCCAGCCAGGCGCAGTGGCTCATGCCTGTAATCCTAGCACTTTGAGAGGCCAAGGCAAGAGGATCGCCTGAGCCCAGGGGTTCATGACCAGCCTGGGCAACTTGGAGAGACCTTGTCTCTACAATAAATCAAAAAATTAGCTGGATGTGGTGGTGCACACCTGTAGTACCAGCTACTTGGAAGGCTGAGGCAGAAGAATCACCTGAACGCAGCAGGTCGAGGCCGCAGTGGCCATAAGCATGCCACTGCACTCCAGCCTGGAGGACAGAGTGAGACTCCAACTCAAAAAATAAAAATAAAAAAAGAATTAAACTTCCATCCAGAGACAAACAGCCAAGGTGGGAAAAGGGACAGATTTCAAAACATGGCAGGATCAAAGATATAGAGTAGGATCAAGGCAATAGGCAACTCAGACCGTGACAGAATCAGACACAGAGTGCTATTTGACAGAAAGTAAAATGGGTAAGAAGATATTAATATTTTTAGGCATCAAGTACAAAGTGAAGAGTATAAGGATATGGAATTACATCAGCAAAATGTGAGGGACATGCTTTGGTCCCTCTCTATCTCCTATCACTTGGAACTTGAAGAAAGTACATTAAAATGAAAAGCCTGGTTTTGAGGCAAGTCTGATGTTATTCACTCTCCTACTTCTCAATTTCTTATTGTTGGCCCTCAATTTATGGAATTTGCTCTGCTTTTCTCTACTTTTACCCAGTCCTACATTGCAACCTTCTAAAGCCATGATCCTTTATCTTACTGGTTTTCTATTCTTTTGCACTAAAATAGTCTTGCTTCCTATATAAATCCAGTGCAACTGTAACCTTCTGAAACCCAGGGGCCTTCCTTATGGGAAGTCCTGCTTCCTATAAACCCAGTGCAACATTGTACTCTTCTAAGACCCAAGGATGGAAAAATAGTCAAAGACAATAGCATTCTTCCTAGCATTCCTGCTTTCCACTGTTAAATTATCCTCCAAGCCTCTCATACCTGAATATATGATTTTTAAAAATGCACTGATTTATTTAGTATAGTCATCAATCATACAGATGTCAAAATAGTTACTATATATAAAGGCTAACAGAGTTTAGGTAAATTGACAGAATTTTTCTTTCAAAAGAATTCACAGTGTCCATGTGTTAGGAGACTATTAGGATGTACTATGTGCTCTAGTACAGAAGTATTCTTTAAGTAAAAAAGTACTCTTAGTATAGACTAAAAACACATTAGAAGCATTTTAATGTGTTTTTAATCTGTATTTAAGGAACATTTTAAATGAATTATAAACTTCTGGCTACTATCTCTTTATAAAAATAATACCCTGCGATTCAGAAAATAAAATCATAAAAATTGGGTTTATAGGCCCAGATGCTATTTTCAATCAACTAGAAGTTAGTACTTACTTTTGATACTAAGTCAATATTAAATCTCCTGCCTTCTTTAATAATTTGCGAGTAAGTAATCCTATTTTTCTTTGGTTGCTCTGCAGTATCTTTTGCTGTAGGCACATTTTCACTTGTTTCCTCTCCTGAAGTTGATGGTACACACGTTTTATTATCACAATGATTTTCTTTCTCTCCTATCACTTTATCGCCATTTACTTCTAGAGTACTCTCTGGAGCACTGTTTGGAGTTTGCTCTGCAGGCATTTCACAGTTACCAGAGCCTAATGACTCATCTTCTGTAGGCAGGCAGGAAGAATCTGCAGCTTCTGAGGAGTTTGCAGATGTCACAGAGGCATGATTTTTCTGCAGTGCGCCAGCTTCTTCGACATCTTCATGCAAATCCTGACTAATAAGAAATTATAATAATCAACACTATGTTTTTGATAATTGTACTTCACTACATTTTTACACTGCTTTAATTTTCATGGCAATTTTTCTTCCTTTCTTTCTTTCTTTTTGAGTTGGAGTCTCACTCTGTCGTCCAGGCTGGATGCTGTGGCACGCCCACGGCCACCGCAGCCTCAACCTACTGGGCTCAGGTGATCCTTCCACCTCAGCCTTCCAAGTAGCTGGAACTACAGGCCCACGCCAGCACACCTGGCTTTTTAAATTTATTGTAGAGATGAGATCTCGCCAAGTTGCCCAGGCTGGTCTCAAACCCCTGGGCTCAGACAATCCTCTTGCCTCAGCCTCCCAAAGTGCTGGGATTACATGTGTGAGCCACCACATTCAGCCAGGCAATTTTTAAATTCTTTACCCCTTTTAATCAAGTTTATATACATTTTGCCTTATGTGACTGAACCGGACATTAAACATTTATCTTAAGGTTTCAGTACAATACGAAACATAATTAAGATGCGCAAAATACACATCAAGATTTCACATCACGTGTACATTTAGGAGAATTTAAGGCAGACTGGGGAATTGTACTGTAGAAGCAAATCAATAAATTGATTAAGAACACAGCCTTCAGAAATAACACATCTGGGTTCAAACTTTGACCCTATGACTGACAAGTTAGCTCTGTGAACTTGGAACTCATCCTCTCTGAGACCACCTAAATTACCCATCTATAACATAGAGATACTATTACCTACCTCTCGAGGTTGTTTTGAAGATTAAATGAGATATTGCATGCAAAGAACTTGGCACATTGCCTGGGACACAGCAAATGCTCAACACTAGTAATTATCAAAGATGATTATTATTGAGTTCTTGACTTGGTGGTATGACAGAGGTACCTTCAGTAAAGGGGAAAAAATACGCTCTGAAAAGTTTAAGTTGGCCTATCACAATGTGGTACAGTGATACTGTGAAATATACATTTGGTCTTCATCCCCAAAGTGCTGTCTTTGTATGCTGATGTAGACTAATAGCTTTGGAGTGGGGCTGGTCTTCAGAAAGACAAAGGCATGATTAAAGGTTTGGAACTTTCAGCCCTACCACTCAATCTCTAGGGAGGAGAGAGGGGCTGAAGATCAAGTTGATTACCAGTGGTCAATGGTTTAATCAATCATGCCTACATAATGAAACCCTCATAAAAACTCAAACGAACAGGGTTCAGAGCTTTCAGATAAATGAACAGAGGTTCCTGAAGGATGGCACGCCCAGGAAGGGCATGGAAGCTCCATGCCCTTTCCTCCATACCTCACCCCACACATCTCTTCATCTGTATCCTTTGTAATAACCTTTACAATAAACCAGTAAAAGTAAGCAAGTGTTTCCTTGAGTTTTGTGAGCCACTCCAGCAAGTTAATCAAACCCAAAGAGGGGTCCATGGGAACCCCAACTTGAAGCAGGTTGGTCAGTAGCTGTCTAGGTTTGAACTTGCAACTACTGTCTAAAGTTGTAGAGGAAGCAGTCTTGGGGACTGAGCCCTCAACTTGTGGGATCTCCAGGCAGACAATGTAGGTTTAAAATTGGAGGGTGCCAAGTTGGTACCCACTGCTTGTCGGTGGGGGAAAAAACCCTACACATTTGGTCACAGAAGTCTTCCATGTTGATTGTTGTGAATGTGAGAGCCGAGGAAAAACAAGGTTTGAGAATGATTTCCAAAACAGTTATCTAACAGAATCCTTCTGTATTCTTTCCAGTCGTACATTGTTTTAGTATTGGTATTTATTACTCTATTGGAAGCCCCATCTCCAAAGTAATTACTAGGGTTAACATTCTCAGGCCATTATTGTCTTGGTTGATACAACAAGCTCCCATTCAGTCTACCTCCATCATTAATTTCTTCATGATATTTTATTATCCACAGAACCCACTATTTTCACTGATTTGCCCTACTGCTCAGTACCTAGTAAAAAACCAGTTGATTGTTCAAGAATTAACAGTAGCCCTTATATTAAATCTAAACCCATCCCATAAAAATCTTCCTCTTCCTGTCTCTAAACCAAATCACCTTCTTTACTTACTAATTTTCTAGTTCCATCTCCACCTACTTTCCAACATGGCATCTCCAATTCCCAATTTATCAGCTCTAATCTTCATATTTTAGCCTATATCATTTGTTTCCTCTGGGTTATTCTTCCCATTCCCCATATCACAATTCCCCCATTTCCAAACATACTTTAACTATTTTAAGAAAAAGTTTAAATTTCACTTCCAAGAAGTCTTCCTTAACCTACCCACTCTCATCAGTCTATTATTTCATTTTCCTCCAATACATATATAGAGTTTACCTTGCATTTATTTATCAATTCCTTTTTTAATAGTTTAGTTGTCCAGCATATGCTTCATCTCCTGAACTAGACTTTCATTCACTTTAGGGAAGACCCTAACACCACTTCTTCTGTACCCCACACAACACCTACTGCATTGCTCTGTAGATGATGTATCTAATAAATGCTTGATGAATGCAATAGGATATTTTTGTTTCAAATATGAATCAAATACATTGCAGAAAACACACAAAAAAATTAGGTCACGGAAAAACATTATATTGTAAATTCAAAAGTCTGGGTTCAGTGAAAAAAAGATGGCTTATTAAAATCAACACAATAGGCCATTGCTTTGCTAGGCTCTGGTGTGACCATGTGTTCTTTGAGCTATGGCTGTTGCCATGCTTCCTGGCTTTGGTCCCCTCTGCCACCTTGGGGAGGTGAATCTTCTCTTTCTGTCTCTCTAATTTACTTTTCAATATACTATATTTTCAAAAATAAAAATAAAAAACAAAATTAACACAATAAACACAACAAAAAAGGAAAAATGACAATAAAATAGTACTCATATGTCAAGAAATAAAATGACATATTTACTGTTAAATGAAAAAACAAATTGATATCATTAATGTTACAGCAATAGTTTTCAGATCTAGACAAAGATACCTAGGTTTTCTGCATTCCCATGATGAAAGTTCTTTGGCTACATAAACGCACAATAGCATCACTGCTATTAACAAACATTAAAAATGAAGAGCAATAATATCAAATGTGATTTGTATATTTTCTACAGAATTGTTCATACTTTGTATTCAATTTCATTATTTTGAAAACCAAAACTTAAGTGGATTCCTTGAGGAATCTAAGGTGAAAACTTTCAGCAAAAATTTTATGCTTAAGTTTTAAAATAAGAAATAACAGAATAATTCATTACACTTTACAGATAAAACAGATGGCAACCTCTCTTAATACAAATCACGATGATGACACCACAGAAACAGCACAGCAACTGATCTAGGCAGTGGATCTGTCTGTTACATTCTGCAAAAGAGGGCTTGAATGTAATGCATTACCAATGCTAGACAATATGGAAGATAATAAGTCATAATACTTAACGAAAGGTAATGTGTAAGAAAAGAAATTATTCTTTGGGAAATTTTTCTACAACCACAAACTTTTGCTTTACTGGTCTCTACGTCATAATTTGGTTAAATTACTAGCCTTGCAGAAAACACAAGCAATAGAAACACAATATTAGCCCAGGCAACATAGTGAGACCCCCATCTCTACAAAAAATAAAAATAAAAAATTAGCTGGGTATGTGGCATGTGCCTGTAGTCCCAGCTTCTCAGGAGGTTGAGGTGAGAGGATTACTTGTGCCCAGGAGCTTGAGGTTGCAGTGAGCTGCAATGATTATGCCACTACTCTCAGCCTGGGCAGCAGAGTGAGATCCAACTCAGAAGAAAAAAAGAAAGAAAAAGAAACACAATATTGTCCTCACTTTCCATTGAAAACAACTACCATATTTTTGGAGTTCTGTCAAGGCTGAAGTTAATACCTAATGAGAAGGCATTTAACTTTTAGGTAAGGTATACAAGAAAACTCCACTTAAGCAAAATTCTGTTCATCAGAAAGGGCTATCTTCCCCCAGATTTAAAACTGTATACTGTGGTAAAAGATATCATCTTTAAAAGACATTCAAACTTTCAAAGAAAACATCAGAATTAAATAATAGCTCAATTATATTAATTTAGTAATTTAAATATATTTGAAAACTATAAAAACACATTTGCCAATTACAAAATAATGTGGCTGAATTATAAGCCTTCAAAAGTACCTTTGAGTTATAAAATATTACAACAGTTTTTATACAGACACTTCTCAACTTATGATGGGGCCACGCACTGATAAAATCATCATAAGTTGAAAGTATAGCAAGTCAAAGTATATTTAATACCCCAATAAACCCACTGTAAAGCTGAGACATTGTAAGTCAAACCTTCAGAAGCCAGGGACCATCTGTTAAGGAAAACAATTTGCATTATTAGTTTTTATTAAAAGTTTCACTATCAAAATAGATTTCACAAATTAAATGTCATTTACATTGTTAATTTGAATTCCAAAGGCCATTTAAAATATAGTATAACAATATTTTTTAGGTAATTTTTACCTAACTAAAACCACTGAATACTGCTTTGTGTAAGTGTATTTTTTTTTTTTTTCCAAAATCTGCATGTAACACTGAGAATTGGGGAGTATAAATTCTGGTATTATCTAGTACTACTTATCAATTAACAGTACTAACAAAGAAACACCTCAAAATGAATGTATCTTATTAATGCCTTGTAACAGTCAGTCTTTTAGATGAGTCAAATGAAAAACTGCCAACCAGCTGGATAATTTATTCAGCACAGGTGTTTACCATTCATTTTTCAAACATTTGCAGCTTTTTTCCCCTCAACAGCTTGTTGCAGAAGTCACATTATTTTACTTCGATGTATATACACTTTGTTCTAAGGCCATTCATTTCTGATTTTCACAATATATGTTATACTGCTACCCAGCTGTTTATTCCAAAACAAATATTTAATGACTACTCATAAGAAGTATAAAAATCAGGCTATTCCAAAACTGTTCTAGAAAACAGAATATTAAAAAATTGAAATCAATTTTGACTTGCTGC